CCAGCCTTAGTCACCCTTTCTTCCTTGCAGCGCTTGATATTATTTCTCTCTGTTCTCAAAATGAGAAAACAGCTCATGGGAATTGTTTCTTTGCTGTACCCAAGTAATCAAGCTCCAGAAACAAATGAATACAACAGAACAAGTGGAAACAGAACAGCTCACTTTTCCTGTAAGTTTATATTTCATTGTCACAGCAAACCCGTGTCTCATCACCTGCTATTTTCAATCATCTGGTGGAGAAAGGGCCCTTCCAGTTCAGGCTTTCGGGTATACACAGGGACTGGAACTGGAATACACAGGCAACTGATATTCTGATTGCCTTCTATTATAAAAACTTAATAATAGTTATAATTTTCATTTGGAGTACAAGTGTTTTCCATTTTTGAATGTTTCAAACTGATTCTAATATGAATATGTTTAATTATTTGTTATGTGATTAAAAAAATTGACAGTTTTAAATTTAGAATGATAAGATTAAATACTGTTCTCTTAACTGGGCACTGTGGTTATCCATTACAATTTTTTATAATCCTGCATCTTCTGTGTTTCCTTAAGTTGTTGGCCTACTCTATAGTTACTGAACATTGAAAGTTATCTTTAAAGATCTCTGCTGTTCAGAACCTCTCTCCAAAGACTGTTCTTTGCTCATACGCAGAAAGTTTTTGCTGCATGCATGATGCCAGGAAGCCAGGCTAGAGGTTTTCAAATACCACGATAAAGATGAGGTTTCCAAGTGTCTAATCTAGCATGTCCAGATCAGTGCAATTCAGCTTCTAAATTATCATCTATGCCATAATAATAATCAGCCCTCGGGCTGACCTGCAATCTTAATTAAACTGTTGTGAAGTCAGTTCATAATAATGAATTAATTATCTGTGGTAGTGTCCCTAAATTTCAGAGAAAGGGACCCACTTCACAACTGGCATGGACTCAGCAGATGTACATAGATGCTTACCATGGCTGAGCTGACAGCTAGTTTTTAATGCTGCATGAACCTGGTCAGGGCCAGTTGCTGCTGCTGCTCTAAATCCAATGTTTTTATTCTCTCTCTGAAGTGAGTTTATGAAGATTCAGAAAGCACGAGTTCACAGATCTCTTAAAAGCTCTCACAATGTCTCTTTGTACAGAAGATTCACACTGGAACTTCAGATTTTAGATGTTCTCAATATCTTTATGAAGCAAGCATTTATGCATGTTATGGTTGGAGACTGAAAATTATTTTTGGTTCATTTCTTAGTTTTATTGTACTGAGCAAATCTGGGTAATAGCAGAAATATAATGGCAAAGTATGATAGGTACTACTCTGCAAACATCAGTTTTCAGCATCTGGAGAGAGAGAGAAATTGTTGATAGATACAAAACTATCTTCTCTCACATATAATTCTGCAAGAATTAGAGCTTTTTAAGCTGCTGGTAATTAGAAGTATAAGCCATAAAAATATTCCCCAAATACTGCCACCAACATAATGTCTTGTGTACCAATGTTCCCGTTGCCATGTTTGCAGATTCTTCTTCCACTTAGCTCCACTTAACCTCAGCCTCAAAAGCTGTTGCACAACAAAAGTTTATACAGTTTATTAAGGGAAACAGGACACAATAAATACTGCAATTCTTTTTCACTTGGTCTGAGTTTGATTAGCTGCTCCTTAAACAGATGGCAAAGTAATGTGTGAGACAGAACCTTCCCTTACAGAGTTATCCTGCTCAATGACTTACCCACCCGTCACCCAGCGAGTTCTGCCTTGCTCTGGTGTGTTGCTGAGCTCTCTCTCATCTTTCTAGCTCTAGCCCAGGGTAGGTTGGGCTCTCTCTTTCACTCAGACCATCAGGGATAAATGGTGGCCCCTGATCTACATTAACAATCGCATGCCCAGACTTCATTTTACACTTTTCAGTTTCTTTGCCTTGGAGACTTAATATTTTTATAAAGAACTATAATCTTTTATTTACTTTAAGCCCTCTACCATTTAATTATATATTTGCTTTTATACCCCAGAACCAGCATAGGAAATTTCTTTGGTTTATTTGTTCATATATGCTTATTTGATCATTCATTATTTCATATACATCTCTGGTTTCCATTTTTTCCTCTCAGAAAAAAAATTTGCAGTCCTTTCACATTCCTATTAGTTCTTCAATTTGCTTGAACATTCTTATTTTGTCTGAAATCCCTTTTACTTCTTTTTTTTTTTTTTTACAATGGTTAGAAAATTAATTTTGCATTTAACAAATTATTTACAAGTATTTGGCCTCCTCTATAGTCCCAACTCTAAAGCTTTTTCACTTTTTTAATGCACTGAGCAGATTATTCTTATAAAACTTCATATCTGATTTATTAATCATTTACATTTGATCATTGTAAACTGTCCTCAAACACCTGAAAAACAGATCTCCTGTGTGAATAGATAACATATGAATAGATGAAATACATTCTATGAATAATATTACAGACAAATAGTAACTTTAAATAGGACAAACTATTCATAGATGGGGTCATTTTGAAAATAAGGCTCTATGATTTAAGTAATTTAAAAGTTTGTCAAAACTAAGATTTTTAAATTCTTAGATTATAAACAAGAATACATTTCTTCAGCAACATATTCAATAGCTGTATAAATTCAATGTGAATGGTTTCATTGCAGAAGGAACACATTGAACACTACATTCATGAGAGGAGAACTTTGAAATTAGATGCTTATATTAAACTTCTTAATATTTGTTGGATATCAAGAGCAGAGAGAGGAAACTCAAAAAATTACATGGCTATCCAAGCCATTTCCAGGGATTTTACACAATGCCTGAAAGGCATCTAAAGTCTTTTAGGTTCAAAGTGCTACCTAAGTCCTTTAACCATCTTTAGAAAAGTTATATTTTAAAAAAATGGCCTGTTTTCCAAAGATGTAGCTCCTTCTACTGAAACTGAAACAATGGGTGTAGGATCGTAATTTTAAGCAGTAATTTAAAAGATGGAATGTTAAACAATAATAACTCAACCAGCTTTAACCACAAAATAACCTTTCCTTCCTCTTCTTTCCTTCTCCTTTATTTTTTCTTCCTTCAGCATTTCCCCATGAAACTGTAAGTTTCCTAAAAAAATAAAAAAAAGAAAAAAAAGAAAAAAAAGGAGGCAGTAGATGTTCAAAGGTATTATTAATGTTCCTGTCACAATAGTTTTTTGTCCACTGGGAAATTGCTCATTTATGGTGAACCAGACCTCGACTACAGATGGAGCTTTGTAAGTTAAAAAAGTTCCCATCTCAATAATAAGGAAAGAACTTTGAAATAATACATTAAAAATGTCACTGAGGGCACTGTAGATGACTAATGAGTGACTTGAAAAGGATGAGTGCAATGTTTAGTCTTATAAGATTATTTATTGACTGTGCTTTTACCTTTTATCTATTTTTTGATTGACCTTTTTTGAAATATAAGAATTACTCTGTGTCTGTCGCTGTGTTTGTGAGGTTTTGGTGCTAGAGATTAATGGATGAAGATATACACAAAAGATTTTTTCACTTTTCTTATTATATTTTAAAAGGGAAATAAGTCACTGCTACCAATTCTACATCTATGCTAATGACTGTTTTCATACTTGCAGTTACTTGCAGGAATCAGTTTTCCTTTTTTATCACAAACTTGGTATTTTGTTTTAAATAGAAAAACTTGTTTTAAACCCAACTATTTCTGTGAATAATAACTTGTGCTTTAATATGCATTTTATAATTGCATTGGTTAGATTTTTAGGTTGATTTAAATTAGACAACAATTATTCAACAAAATAATTCATAACAAGCCCTTCACAGGAGAGAAACTAATTAGAATAGTTAGAAATTGCATGAAGAATTTAATGGTAAAGCAAAACAAACCAACAACCTTGATCCTTCCTCTTGACAGAACTAAGAAAAGGCAGTTTCAAATTTTACTGAAATATCCAGAGAAGAAAACACGTTTGATATCTCAGCAACAGGCAAAAACTTGGCATTTAAGTGAGAACAAATGACACTGAGCAGGAATTGGTATGATTACACCTTTCTGATGAGTCATAACTAATGAGGCAGTCTAATACTCATGAAGCAAAACCGGTGACTAAAGTGAGAAGAATGCAGCTGGCAGGATCAAGGAGGCAGGGAAGGAGAATAAACATCTCACACACTTTAGCTCAGTGGCACCCTGGCCTGTACCAGCAATAGTGTGGCCAGCAGGAGCAGGGCAGTGACTGTCCCCCTGCACTCAGCACTGGGGACACCACACCTCGAGTACTGTGTCCACTTCTGGGCCCTTCATTCCAAGACATTGAGGGGCTGGAGCGTGTCCAGAGAAGGGCAACAGAGCTGGGGCAGGGTCTGGAGCACAAGTCATGAAGAGCAGGTGAGAGAGCTGGAGGTGTTTAGCCTGGAGAAAAGGAGGCTCAGGGGAGACCTTGCAGCTCTCTGCTCCTCTCCAGCCTGAAAGGAGGTTGTGGGGAAATGGGGATCAGTCTCCTCCCCGCAGCAGCTGGTGGCAGAACAAGAAAAAAATGGCCTCACACTGAGCCAGGGAAGATTTAGGTTGGATCTTCGGAAAAATATCTTCAATGAAAAGCTGGTCAGGCATTGGAATAGGGCAGTGATGCAATCACTGTACTGAAACTATTGAAAAAACATGTAGATATGGCACTTGGAAACATGATTTAGAGGTGAGCATGGCAGTCCCAGGTTAATGGCTGAACTCAATGACTTAAGTGGTCTTTTCCACCTTCAATGATTTTATGATTCTATGTGGTTTAGAGAAAAAAAAAAAAGAGAAAAATAAAAGAAAAAAAGGAGACATTTCAATGTTTTTGCAGAAAAAAATCTCTGGTAACTTATTAAACAAATCTTCTCACTGTGTATAGAATTCTAAGTCAGAACCTAGTAAGTAAATTAAGACAGAAATTTCATATTTTTTCATATCTAATGTGAAGAGGAAAGGTAAAATCATTTTATAAATACTTACAAAAGCATTTTAAAAATCTGAGTTGAGAAAAAGCCAGACAGAAAAAAGGTACTGTTTATTGTGAGATTATCCAACTCTGATTATAGACTTCAACCCCTTGAACTCTGTCCCACTCCTACTTTTTTGTTTAGATTAGTATTTTTCACATGTCTAAAAGTACTGTTTCTCTGCTTCCAGAAACCACAATTTTATATTTTACATTTTTCTCAATTATTTGGTTGTCAATGGCAGGTAGTTTCTTTCTTCTCTTCCCTCTGCATATGTCTCTTCCTCTTCAATTTCATCTCCTCTTCTCCTGTCTCCTCTCTTGTCAGTTTGTGGGCTTCTGCTCTTGCAAAATTGCAATAATTTGATTTATTCACGTCTGCAATGAAAGAGAATTTTTATGAACAGTTACAGTGTCTCAGCTGACATAGAATAGCTTTTCAGCTCTAGCAATTTGTTTGTGTGTCTAAGTCTTTATATTTCTTTCTAAGCTTTTTTCAAATACTTTAAAAATCTAGTGGACTATGTATGTTGTAATCTGTCTCTTATAGGAGGTACCAAACCACATACTTTAATTTCCTCATAAGTAATCTCATTGAAACTATCAGGATGATTTACATACCAGAGCTTTATAAATGTTATTTCTCAGAGAGGTACCAATACCACAGAACTTTGCAGCCTCTGAGCTGCCACATTGCTCTCTGTCTGCCTCAGTTTCCATGCTTTCATTTTTCTTCCTCTCTCAGGGGACCTCTACAAGGCTACATGGCTCTCATAACTACTTCTAGACCTCGAATAACGTTCACAGTGTGATCCCAGAACAGGTAACTCTCTTGTGTCTTGGCTGGAGGGCTGGCTGCGTTTGTCTGCTCAGAGATGAATTGCGCAGGTGTCTGCACGTCACCACGAGCCACGTGGAGCTCCTACGTGTGAAATTAGCATCCAGTGCTTGCATGGCAGGAACTTGAGCCCTGATCTCCCAAATGCTAACTGACCTTCTGAGATGAAGGATTCTCAGAGATAGAGCTGTGCTTGTTGCATGCATGGATATTAGCGTGGGAGAGAGGAGAGAATAAAAGACTAACTCTGTACGTTGATCTTCAAGCATTTGTCAGGGATATGAAACAGAGATTCATGGAGATTCCAGTACCAGGAAATTTGAGATAAATAAGCAAAAGTGATATAATTTTCAGTGAAAACACTGGGAAAAAAAACTCTCAAATTGTTCCAGGATATCTGGGTTTTGCATATGCATATTAAATTAAATTCAAATTCTGTCTCCAAATCTCTTTCAGGAACAAGTAACACCATTCCCTGTGAGTCGTGCAGGTGGGGGTTGATCTTATTTTTCATGGATAAAAAGACACTATGAAAATTTCTTAATGCAATAAAATGAAAACCTTAAATAGATGGATCTTTGTAGCAGACAGGAAGGCACATACCTCCGCTTAGAACAGAAATTTAAGAACCTGAGTCATACTCTATTTTTTTCTGTTTTTTACCCAGAACATCTGTGAATATTTGTACAGCCTCTTCTTACCATAAGATCTTCTGTGTGAGAAGTTTGGTTCGATGGATGTCCACTCCAAATAAGATACACAGTGCTGATTTTACCCTGCTTTAATACTGTGTTTTAGGAAATACTCCAGTGAAACATAGATCAACACAGCCTAAGGTACTGTACATCAGAAGAACCACCAACCTCCTCAACTGTGTCCCTCCAGTGCTCAGCAAACGTGATGTGATTAAACAGAGCTAAGTTGGAATGTGAAGAAGGGTAAGCAGTGTTGCAGACCTGATTTTGGCCATAAGGCACTCTTGGGGACTGTTACCATTGTTCAGCTGATACATAGTAATTAAACTGAATTTCATTGTGTGAAAATCCTTTAAATGCTTCCTAAATCTCTCAGAAAGATCCTGGCAGAATGATATGTACTGCCATACTGCTTTCCTGCCTCTACAACACTTTTACAATTATAACCAGATTTCTTCTTTGGTTCAGTACTGCCCTTAACATTTTTATTGTTTTCCATAGCTACAAGTCATGATCTGTATTCTCTTCCTATTGTGAAACATGTCAGAGTATGTGCCTGTCTGATTAACAACATCGGACTCATGTCTTATCTTTCTACAATTGAACATACTCCATTGTGAGGATTCAAGGGAATTGAGTTAGTGATGTCTTGTATAACACTGTGAAGATTAATGTACGCTGCTGAGTCTCTGACTACAGGAGTTCCCACTGGAGGGCTGGATGATGGGAACAGTAGGATATTTTGTTATCTATGGCCATGACATTGTGTCCTAGTTTCATGCACCACAGTACAAAGCAGTGGTTCTGCTCAGAGAAGTTACTTAGAGAAATGATGGTAGGTGGAATAGCAGAAAGGCAAAAATTATTTGATAAAAAAGAGGCATCCCAAGACTCTTCCTAAGAAAGTGTGTTGTTTGGCAATTACATTAAACAACTTCCCAGAGACTTGCACCTTGCAGATATGTGCTACTCAGCATGATTCTGAATGTCAGGTGCTTTCAGTAGAATTCACCTCCACCTAGCTTCCAGGCATTCTATAAAATTCTCTATATGACTGTGTAATATATTTCTGCTGTGATTTCTGGTATATGTCATGATCAGACGTTGAGCTGGGTTAAAAGGCAGTAAATACAATGCTTGCTCATATAGTTTCTCTTAGGTGTCAGACTGCATCTTTAAGAGCCTTTTATCTCCCTTGTTGTGCATTTTCTTTCCATGGTGAAAGGCTTTCCAATTTGTTCTTGGTCTTTACAGTCATAAGACTTTCTACCATTAAGGTTAAAGCTCTCCTTTCCCTAACTAGAGCCAACAGAGGAGGTTTCATCCTGAAGTTGCTTTAGTGATAAAGCAATGTTTTCTCAGCAATTCTGTGGTATTTCAGAAAGGCATCAGAAATTAAAAAATAATCGCCTGTGGAATAAGCTGCACTGGATTTTAGAGACTCCCCTGCTAGATTTCATGTGTCATATATTGGGGAATGTGTATTATTGATCTAGTTTTAAGTGGAATTTTATTATTTTAAATTAAAAGCATTTTCTGTGATAAGAATGATTTGTGAAACTAATGCATGGGACAGAGGACAGAATGAATAGAGAAGATTTTTTTTCCCACAAAAGCCCTATAAAGACAATCTTTATGTCTTTGCACACTCAAAACAAAAAGGGGAAAAAAAGGAAATGAAAGAAAAATAAAAAGCCTTGGATGCAGTGTAGTTAGCTCTAGAGTCCTATCACAGTACCAATTCTGAGCTGTCAGAAGGCTGCTCTATTTTATTCTTTTTTTTCTCTGTGTGTGTGACACATTTTAGCTTTCTACAAAAAAGAAAATAAAGGGGAAGCAGCTCCAGCTAGCCTTGGAAAAGCTATTTAGCTTGCATATTGTGGAATTGTCTTCCCTAGCTAGTTACTGCCATTTTATAACACTGCAGCATATTGGATCAAAGACTAGAACTGCCACCTCCTGTTTACAATGGGCTGGAGCAGTCACAGAATTGTCAGGGCTACTTTCTGTCTCGGTGTGATTGGAAATAAGACTGAAAACGGTAGGTTGCTACCAACATTGAGTGTACCTGGAATAACGGGCACAAATATGCATGCAGTACTATTGTTTCGGAGATAATTTCAAAGGCAAAACCATGGAGACAGGAAAAAAAAATAACTAAAAATAATCCTTGAAGTGTGTTCTAGATTTTTAATATAAGTTATGCTGAGACAAGAGCTGTTGTTAGACTGCATAAACACTATGTCCCAAGGCTTAACACTTAGAAAGATTATTTTTATAGCTCTGCCAGTACCAAATTTTTGTGAGAGTCATCAGTGATTTTCATTTTGCAGTGACAATATGGTGTTTAAAAATATCAATTGACTGATAAGAATACTTCCTTTTAAAGGTGAAATTACATTCCAAGTACACAGAGGGTGTTATTTGGGTGCTCTGGTAGAATAATAAGCATTTGGCAGGCACATTTCTAGTTTATATATCTGATTTATCTTTCCACGCTTAAGTAATTTTGTTGCTTATACTCACCAAAAAGAGACGTAGAGCAGAGAGACAACAGACTGCAATTCTCACACTGGACTAAAATACAAACTTTAAGATTCCCATCACTGTTTCTGTTAATGCAGGTGCCTTAGCAAGAAGATGTGCATAAACCTCTAAAGTTGGGTTTTCAAGAGACAAAAGAAACACAAACAATAAACACGGGTACTCACCATGTTCTTACAAAACCAGCTAAGGTGGGAGACCTGTGTCTTCTGTGTCACTTCTTATATACCTTAAACAAACAATCTCATTCCTTTTCCTGCATGTGCCTTTGTGCAAGACCTAGGAATTGCATCATTGCTCCCATTTAGTGTTGCTAGTTGGTTACATAAGGGGTGCACATTATAATGTGAAAAATAATGGGATAAAGATGAAGCTGGTCTGCTGTTTTCTTTCTTACAGCAGGCTTTGACGTATGCTGAGATCAGCGAGCAAGATGCATGCTGCATCATGGGACCAAGGATCTTGTGAGGGTATTTGGCATCTATAATATACCATCTGTATGTCACTTGAGTCACTCTCAAAGGTCCAACACTTTTGCATATTTATTTTTTGGGGTTTTTTTTATTGAAAGGCTGACTTATATGTGTAAACATCAGTTTGTGGACTCAGTGATGACTTAAGGACTACTACCTAGAGACTTCTAAGAGGTTTTTGCAGCCTGTTCAGGTGCCCTTTTTCCTTCATGGTCTTCTGCATCCAACTGGAATTGCTTATATTTTTAGTTCCAGAAGTTTCTGCTTTGATGATGATGATGGTGACTGTGCATCCATCACCATGGTACGTGCTGGGTGTGTAATATTTAAAGGGATGGAACTTTTACAATACTGTTTCCTTAGGTCCCACAATGCTGTATGCAAAATAAAAGAGTATGAACTATTTGGTACCTTCTATGGTCTGGTATATTGAATGAATATTTTTGACACACTGATAAGTACAAATTTTGTAGAAATTTTACAAAACTGGATCAAAAGTTACATTTACATCTCCCTTCCTGGTTTTTGGGGGTTTTGGGGGGCTTTGTTGTTTGTTTGGGTTTTGTTTTTGTTGTTGTTGTTGGGGTTTTTTGACCTTTTCTTTTGTGATTTTGTGTATGAAAGTGTATATATATATCTGTAAAGTATTTGATTATATATGAATACACCATTTTTTTTTTCAAATATTTTCTGCTTAGGTTACTGAAATGTCTTCAGTATTTTTTTCTAAACTCCCCATCAAAAATGAAGAGACACAAGTCTTTGAATTTTGGGTCTGTTAATGCAATCAAGAAATTATGTCAATGGAAATTAATTCAAGAAAAAAACCTGGTGCTCAGAACATAAATGGGACTTAGAAATGTAGCTCCTGGAACTTCCAGCCTAGTTCAGTCAGACTATCATAATAAAATAGAGTGATTATAACTACTACCCAGTTATAACTGTATCTTTTCATGAATTGCTTTTCTCACAGACATCTAGGCTCACACATTTATGCATTAAGATTCTGGCCATGTTTTTTATTATTCTTTTTCAAACCTTGGTATCCTTGTGTGTATTTGCTCAAAAGAGAAGCCAAGAGGAATCACTTACTTTCTCTGTATTTACCAAAATTTATTAAATTAGTGGTACAAAGAACACTTTGCACCTGCACATCAGACCTGCTTCAAATAATATTCTAGTATCATTCCTGCTACTCCTTCTTGTCTTGTATATTAATTTTAAATATCTTCTTCTAGTTTTTCTCTATGTGTAACTGTTTAAAATAAAGAAAGGAAAGAACCCTGGTAGTTGTAGGAGACCTCCAAAATAGCTTTCTCTGTCTCAAGTCCCCATTTGGACAAATTATTTCTCATTGACTCAACTTTCACTGAATTTTGAAAATATTTCACCATGGAACTGAAAAGAACTGCTTTCCAAAGGGAGAAACTGTGTTCTTGCCATGTAGTGGATAGGTGATTACAATCAGCCATTTCTTTCCTCTTTTCCTCTAGCTGCAATCTACAAGACCTGCTTCAACAATATTATCCCAGAGAAGGAAAAAAAATCCCAGAAATGTTTGTTATAAGAAAGGCATTCTTTAAAAAAAGAAAACATACTAATTTGAATACTGTTACTTAGGCAACGTCAGAGATTCAGCATGGCTTATCATTTACTAAGAAGGAAAATTGCTCCAGGTACGTGTAAATCTAGTTCATTTTATTTCTTTATGCTCTTGGAAAACAACCAGTTAATTTCAGACCACCTGCTCGGGTTTGGTTTTGCACCTAACTACTCAGTTTCATATCTCGTCCTGTCGAGAAAAGTAAGAAAAAAAAAAGGTCTAGCAGGGTTGTTTTCCCTCTTCATAAATAAGAGTAAAGTCAGGCATTCCTTAACTATTTCACCTGTGATTTGGATTTCATTTTTCTTTCCAGTGAACAGACTTGTTGTGATGATGACTTTAAAATCCCTTCCCCGTGTTGATATTTATAAACCCCAGAGGGTGGAGGTTAAGCTCTGGCCCTGTTTTCAGAGGCTTCTCTCATCAGCCAAGGTCAGGAGCTGAGCTCCTGAGGGGCCTTGGGTTCATAGTTTTATTGCCAATGAGTAATGCCTTGAAACTGCATCCAGTTCTGCTGCACTTCAGAAGTTTATGTGGTGCTGTTTTTAGTATCTTGATTAAAACTTAGTAGTAAACATAAAGTAACTCTCTTGTCACTATATATTTTCGAGTTTTACTATTTTTTCACCACTCTTCTTTATGATCAGAGTAATAAATGCACCTATATAGGTTTTTCCCTGACATTTTATGCTTCTGACTCCATGAATAAAATCTGCTATAGAAATGCTAAAACAATGTCTCAGGCAGTTAAATAAGCAGAATGACCTTATTAAATAGGTGTTTTTCAATATTTAAAAGTAAGAGATATATTTTAGATAAAATATTCATGTCACCAATTTTGTGTTCACAGTCTTTTCTTCTCTTTTCTTTTTCCTCTTTTTTCTTTTTTAATTCAGTAAAAGACAGTCCAGAATTGCTCACTTCCACCTGCAAATAGATGTGGAAAGAAGCAGCCTGGACAGATTTACCTTTACAGAACATAATTATGAAAACAGATACACAGAGATTTATTTAAGATTACCCCTATTCTTGCCATTTTCTTAAATATTTGTGGAACTCTTAGTTTTTCCCCTTCCTTTTTTTTTTTTCCTCCTGGTAGTGCAACTTGATGATCAGGTTCAGTGTCTAATGAGGCAGCCATTCTGAACACGTAGAGACAAAGAAGAGGTTTCCCTGGCAACGAGGACCATGCCAGAGCTCTCAGAACTGTTATTTCCCCTGTATTCAGGTTCCTTTTCTGTTTAGGATGCCTATTAGTGTGAGCTCACAGGCAATGCCTGGCAAGCTTTCCATAGATTACAGCTCCTAAATATACATTAAAAATTACAGCTTAGGCTATGATTTATGAGTAAATTAAAAAGTGGTGAGCTGACATATATTTTTTTCAGTTGCATATATTTTTTATGGAATCTTAAAACAGTGGTGACCACAAGTTCATTACATATGTCTAAGGCTATTAAATACACTGCCTATATCTCTTTAGAACTTCACTGGTTTCAGCAAAATTTGTGTGAGTTCACTGAATTCTCAGCCATATTTTTGCTGTCACTAGATTAAGCATTGATCGAGGTTTTAGATCTAAAACACACATGAATTAAAACACATCTAGATGTGATGAAACACTTAGAACTGTATGTAATATAATTTGAATTTAAATCTCAGTTTAAATGTAGAGAAAAATTACAGTAAAAATGTATTGAAGTACTAGATAATTTTTATTATTAAAAAGTAAAATGAAATTGCAATGAAATTAAATTCTTTAGTCCAAATCTTTACTTTCATCTGAAATCTATGACCCTTTTATGATGAAGGCTTCTGATATTAGATTAAGAGATAAGCTTTTCTACATCCTTACGAGTTCTTGAGGGAACTGAGAAGATTACTACACCACCCAGCCCCAAGCTTGGTCAGGATCCTGAAATCATCCATGCAGCGACGGATGATCCAGAAAGTGTTTTCAAAGTGCACCCACTCACACACATTAAAGATACAATTGAAATTTCTATTTCATGTAGATCAGAAGCATTAATCTCATGTCCACCATATCCACTGGAGAATCAAATAGTCCAGGTTGGAATGGACCTCCAAAAATCAGATAATCCATCTGATAAAAACATCTTTTTAATTCCACCTTCATCAAGAGAGAATTCAAGAATTCAAACCAAACATCCTTCCTTCCTTCCTTCCTTCCTTCCTTCCTTCCTTCCTTCCTTCCTTCCTTCCTTCCTTCCTTCCTTCCTT